AGGCCTGCTGGCCGAGCCAGTGTGCGACCGACCGGTTCAGCGGACCGGCGGTCCAGTCCAGGCCGGTTCAGACCGGCTGGACCGGTTCAATCCCAATTTTTATGGTTCAGTCAGTATTTTTCAGTTTCAGTCCCGGTTCATGATTTCAGTGTCATTTTCAGTTAAAATTCTGGGTTCAGTTCAGTACAGTAAGTTCATGTCCGATCAGTTCATGTCAGATCAGTTCCGGTTATACCGGTTAAGTCTAAATATTATGTCACGTCCAGTAGAGCATCTTAACATAATAAATCAGTTAAGTTAATAGTCTGAGCATAGTCAGTAGTAATTGTTCATATTATATTTCAGTTTGATCAGGTCACGAGCATCAGTACTACCATTATTTTCACGGATTAGGTGGGGACTCAGACTAAGTACTACATTGATTATAATTACGGTACCATGTTTGAGGTATGTATTTCATATCATGTATCCGCTCGGAATGGTCGCCGGTCCATTCTGGGTTCTAGTGGCCTTAGTCTGCCCACTAGAGTGTGCACATGGTGTCCGACATTTTTATGCTGGCAAATGAGGTAACGGTCATGGTTCACGTTCACGTGATGATATCAGATTCATGTTCATGTTATTACCGGTTTCATGTTTAGGTTATGTATATACCAGGATCATGATGTTGTTATTATTTTTAATGTTTACATTAGTATGAGTTTCCACAGAGCACAGTGTTATAGTGCTCACGACCCACTTTATCATGTTTTTCAGGTCAGGATGTCGGGCCGGGAGCGTGAAATGACGGATGCTTTAGGACTTTTATGTTATGACTGTATATATTTTGACGATACTACGTTTCCGCTGATTTTGATGTTTGACGAACTTATCTTTTGATTAGACTTTAGGAAAAAATTATGCTTTCAGTAAACCGTAGATTTTGCTAAAAAAATTATAATAACGGTTTCTCAGAATAAGTCACGTTTTATGGTAGCACCCCGAATCAGTTTTCTCAAATCAAAAAGATTTAATTATTTAAAACAACTTTGCGAAATTTACGCACTCTGATTTCACGATAAGGCGGGATGTTACAAAGTAGCTAGGTGTCACCACATTATATAACCTACTAAAATAAGAATTTAACTTTCAGTAATGATTTAGAATAAATTAAGCTCACTTAGCAATAATAGGCTCGGCATTTAAGATGTACATGCACATAGGTTTAACGTGCAAGATTTCCTTAGCTTTAGGTAAGATCTCCTCAATCCGATTTCTTAGGATATATCTTGAATACTTAGAAAAATTTTCAAGTACAACCGTAAGCTTGGGTTGGGTTAAGGGAATTGAGTATAACTCGACCGAACATACTCGGTTTCGGTCGCGACTCAACTTCGACGATTAATCGAATATTCCTAATTCGACTAATACGTCAATACTAGAATAATTAATCCCGAATTTACTATGTCCATTTATAAAAATAAATGGGCTGAGATTAATTATTGGAATTAACTCGGTTAATAAATAAAATTAACCGGATATACTTTCGACTTAACGTCGAACTCGGAATTTAACTGACTGAATAACTTAGACTTGAACATTGTCATGAATATTTATTAACAAAGGCTAGCTTTTTACTTGAAATCTAGTATTTTTCTTTATTAATAAAATACGGGGCGTTACAATCCACCCTCCTAAAAATATTTCCGTCCTCGGAAATACTAAAACTGGAATGTACAAGCTTAACATAAAGCTTATACTTACTGATGACGTAACATGGAAATCTAATATTTAAATACTGAACATTAGACTTGATCTTAACTGGGAAGTCATCAATTCACAATTAAGTGAATTGTTGATTAATGCTGGCTGAGAATGGACACTTTACTGAATAATGTGTGTCCCGTTAATTATATTTGATACTCATAACATAGTTCTTGAGCGCACTGGTCATCGTCTCTTGGCTGATTTCTAATCCTCGGTCTGTACGTTAAGTGTGAAACCAAAGTCGTTGGTACACACGAAAGACTTTAGAGATACGCATATGTACAATTGAGGACAACTAGCAATCTCGGTAACTACCTGTCATGAACATTTACCCGATGACGCGGCACATCTGTCGCGGCACTTTGCAATGCGGCACACCTGCTCCTCATTTAATGAGTGCAGCACGCCTGCATGCAGCCCCTGGCGAACATAGCACCTGCGTCGTCGACGTAATCTGTATAACTGATCATATCTGTATCTCAAGCTAGTAACCTCAATGTACTATAATGCTAACTCTCCGTGATCTTTCGGTGTACTGTGACTCAGGCATGGCATCATTTTCTTCTTGCGATATACGTCCTTGAATGGAAAGCTCCGGTTGTCTCCACGTCATTGGTTGTTGCTGTGGTTGATTGGTTCTTCTCCGTCGTGTCGTATGTCGACATGCTGTACCTGCAACTGTTTACCTTCCCTGAGGTCAAACATAACCTCAAGAAAAATCTATCATGAACTAATCTTTCCTGCGATTTCTCAAATTTTCTAAATTTGAGAATCGAGACATTGAATATACTTGAAATGACTGATAAGTCTTGTCTTATTAGACAAACTATCCTTGGCTTTAACATGACTAGCCTTAATTTCTGCATAACTGGATAACCCTTACTTGGCTTTAACATGACTATATAACTCTTACTTGAGCTCTGGCAGCTATTCTGAGACAATTAATTGGTCATCTCGGAATTTGGAACATGACATTTACTGACTTACTGTGGCTTGATAAGGTGCGACTTCAAGTTTCCAGGTAAATTTGGACTAATAGTCTGTATATCAGACCTCCATATTTAACCCGGCTTAATAACTATTATACGTCGACCTTAATTCATGAACAATGACCTTAAATCGTGAACATTGACTCATGACTATGTACTGTATAGGGCATCTCCAATATCAACTGATCCCGCTGTTAGAGGTATGCTGTAAAAGCTGTGTTTTGCAATTTCTATCAATTCCATTTTG